GGGGTCAACTGGAAACTAACAAAGGCGTGTGTGCCCGGAAGTGAGACACGTTTGGGCGCGGGGCTGGGTGGCAGGTTCGCACTGTCCTGGTCCGGCGTTGTCACTGTCGGCTGGGTGGGCTCCCCTGGCTCCGCGCGACGCACTCAGTGGTGGCCCTTCTTGTAGCCCCACTTCTTGCCGCCCTCCTTGCCGCCCTTCTTGCCGTACTGCTCCTTGTGCGCGTGGTGCTCCTCGTGGCCCTTGGAGCCCTTGACGCCCTTGTGCTCGTCGTCGTAGTGGCCCTTGTCCACGTGGCCCTTCTTGCCCTTGTGGTCCTCGACGTAGCCCGACTTGTGGTGGCCGCCCTTCTTGTGGTGGCCCTCCTTCTTCTCGTGGTGGCCGTGGAAGTCACCGTGCTTCTTGTGGTGGCCGCCCTTGTGGAAGTCGTCGTAGAACTTGTGCTCCTTGTGGTACTCGTCCTTGTGGAACTTGTTGTGGTAGCCTGGGGACACACAAACGAACGCGCACTTAGATAGAGGGGAATCTGTAATGGCAAAGAATTGCGAAGACACCAAGTTCTAAAAGCCCCGACCCCCTCGCCTCCACCTGCAATAAAAGACATGCCCTCACCAGAGTGGTCACTGCTCACCTTTGGTCTTGTGCCCCTTCTTGTGTCCACCCTTCTCGCCGTACTTGGCTCCCTTGTGGCCCTTCTCGCCCTTGTGGTGCTCGCCGTACTTCTCGGCCTCGTCGTGGTGCTTCTTCTTGTGGCCGTTGGACTTCTTGTAGTCGGACTGGTGGTGATCCGAGCCCGCCTTGCCCTGCTCCGCCTTGTCGACGAAGCTCTTCTTCTTGGCGCCCTTCTCGGACTTGTGGCCGGCCTTCTTGTGGTGCTCCTCCACGTGCTTCTCGCCACCACCAACCACCTTCGAGTGCCCGTGGTGAGTCGCGGCCGTCTCCAAGTCGTCGCCGACGGCGACCGCGAGGGCGCCGAACTTCGGCACCGGAACTGCGCCGGTGGCGGCATCGTCGAGGTCCCTCCGGAGGTCCTTGCCATGCACCGAGCACACCAAGAGCGCCAGGGCGCACGCCGCCACCGGCAACAACAACACACGGGCCATGGCGGCTGAGAGGGCTGGGACTGAGCACCACACTGATCAACGGGATGTACGCAACAAGCGACCCGGATTGCGGAGTCCTACCCATTTATACACAGGATGTAAACCCCTTCCAGGTAGCCGGCGGGGGCGGGTGGGGGCTGGCGG